ATGTTTCTTCTTCGTGGAGTTTATATCAGACAAATTCCTTTTGAATGAATTATGTCTGTTCCAAATCACATCATTCTATAACAATTTTTGCGCGAGATATTCAGAAGAAAAAAAGTTGTAACGTTTTTTTTGTTTGATCAGCCAAAGCATTGTAGCCTACTTGGATGGTACGATAGTAACTAATAATGCTGCCAGTGGTTTCGCATTTCACTGCAGCAAAGTTGGTAGTGAATCAGATGTAGTAACGTTAAATAATAAAACCATCATCCTCTTCTTTCAAATCATTTTTGGACTTATTATGTTGTTGGGTTTTTTTTCTATTCAATTGAGAGATGAAGATTGACCTGAATAAACGAATTTAATTTTCAAACGTTTTGATATCTCACATTTCACAAGTTTTTCATCTCTGGTCACTTTAAATTAGAACTAAAAATGAAAGTTTAATTTTCCCTGAGCCTACTGAAAGAACATAATTTAGTTGTCAGTTGTGCTAAGCCAGGGGAAAGAATTTTGTCTCTGTGCTTGAACTTTCCAAAACACCAATTATGATAAAGTTGTTCAACCAAACTGTTGTGTTGTAGTTCTGTTTAGGTGTTTTTTTCTTTAAGAGATTTGTCGTTGACACCTACCATCTCAGGTTTCATACGATTGATGGTGCTACTTCTTTTCTGTCTCTCTGTTGTTTCTGTCTATTTTGCCTTTTCTACACATAATACGGCAATAAAATCATCATAATTGTGTAAATGTGTTTCCCTTCACTTACTCAAGACTTAATGACAAAGCCTTACTGTGCCAACGTCTGTGGGGTTGTGGTTCAGTGCTTTGCAGTCGCATTCAAGAGACCCGAGTTTGATTCCCAAGTTGGGAGAAAATTTTGCTGGGACGTTGCATCCCACTTAGACCAGGAAAGAAGCCCACCTCCTAACTAATTGAAATTCTGTCGATGGGGGCCGTAAAGAGTACAAGTACTACGAGTCAGTTATAAGAACTTACGCTGTAAATACAGTGGAACCTGCTTCAACCGAAATCTGTGGGACAGCTGGATCTTCTCTGATTTAGCTGTGAAAAAATCCAGAATTTTTTTCCCCTTTTACCGTCATTTTCAGATTACTGTGTTCGGTTTAAGCGGTCCCTACTATGTATGATCATGTCTTTTCAACAGCAAAGTAAGCACAAGATGCATAACCCAAGAAACATATTAAAAACTTTCTTAAGCCACACTTCGTTTAGTTATACATAACCAAATGTATCGCAGTCATTCACGATGTGTCTGTCAAAGATCACATACGACACTGAAAGAAACAGACCGTAACATGCTTCAGAGAGATCATAAAACAAGCCTAACGCGATAATGCTCTGATGCTCTGATGTACTGATGTACTATACTAATGTACTAATGAATTAACGTGCTAGTGTACTAAAGCACTAACATAACCAAATAAGTACAAATGCACAAATGTACTAGTTCACTAGTCTACTAATGTATTCATGCACTAATGTACTAATGTACTAATGTACTAATGTACTGATATATTAAGGTTTTGTTGAACTAATGTACTAAAGCACTAATGTACTCATACAGTAATGTACTAGTGTAGGCCTACCAAAGCACTAATATACTAAAGTAATAATCCACTAATGTATTAACGTACACACAGTGAGACGGGGCCGTCACTATTTAAATTAATGTAATACTATTCGAATAATTATACTAACGCACAAATTCTGATACTAATGCACTATTAATGCATTATTTTTAATAATATGGTAAGTGCTTTACGGCACTTGCAAAACTGCCAAAGATCTTATGAGTACGCAGGATACACTAATCATTTTCAGTTAGATAGGAATCGATTTTAGGACCATCAAGTTATCTTTAACGTGCGCAACTTGTACACAGGAAATCCGAGGTTCTATCGTCTTTAACCGAGAAGACTAGTTCTTGTATCTCACTTAACCTGAGATCAGATGTACAGCTGAAAGACAGTAATAAGAAAGAGCAAGGTGCACTAGTAGAAAAAGCCAGGAGCCTAGAGGAGCGAGAAAAGGGGGGGGGGGTGGAGGTGTAGAAAGTGGAGATGAAAGCAGAGGAAAGAACATTACTAGAGAGCAGGAAAAGAGGTAAACGGAGAAAACTTTAGAGAAGAAAATGTTCCGTCGTTGTTAGGCTTTGAATCCAGGAACTGAGAGGCGGACACCGTACCTCTAGACCACGAGAGCTCCCTAAAGTACTAATACTAAGGCAGTAATGTACGAGTGTACTAATGTACAAGCAGTAAGAGAGAGAGAAGAGAGAGAAGCCAGAAAGAGAGAGAGAAGAGAGAGAAAGAGAGAGAGGGAGGGGCGGAGTAAAGGGAGAGAGAGAGAGGTGAAAATAAAGAGATAGAGAGAGAGAGAGAGAGAGAGAGAGAGAGAGAGAGAGAGAGAGAGAGAGAGAGAGAGAGAGAGAGAGAGAGAGAGAGGGAGAGAGAGAGAGGTGTAACTAATACACTATCGTACAAGTGTACAAATATCTATACTAACTTTCTCTCAAGTATTCCAGGTTGTGTTCATGGAAACCTAGATCCATTCCACTTTGCATTCAAACAAGAGACGAACGTAGAAGATGCTGTATGCTGTACTAATTTTTTGTGACAATACTGAAACACCTTGAAACATTTAAAACGTAAACCAGGGTACCTTTTTTGTTTATTTTTCCTCAGCATGTAATACAATTCAAATGCTTATTGTCATCGAAAAACTTCTGAGTTTGAAAGTTAATCATTAAATCGCAGCATGGGTCCAGGAATGTTTGAGAGCAGACCACAATATTATGTTAAGCTGATCAACACACAATATGACACATTCCTTTGTAACACCGGCAATCTTCAGGGGTGTGCTTTGTCGCCAGTTTTGTACATAAGTATACCAACGATCATAGAAGTTTAATATAAAACAACTAGCATTCGATGATGACTCCGATATTCTTGGATTAATAAACCTGGATGAAGAAATATGCATGCTTTTTAAATGGTTCAATTCAAATTTCTAAAAGTAAACCTCTAAAAAACAAAGCAAATGGTTTTTTATCTTAGAAGAGAAAGACCAACAATCCCACCACTCGTAATCGAACAAAAAACAATTGAAATCACGTATTCATACACATATCTTGGTCCTACAATCGACAACAAATTTACGTGACAAAATCACGTAAGCAACATCGTTAAAAAAGTAAATCAAAGGCTGTACTTTCAGAGGAAGCTTAGGAGGTTCTTCAATCTGAATCAATCCGTCCTTCAGACATTTTACACCACCTTAAAAGAAACGTTGATAATTTTTTGGTATCTTTGCTATGGTAGCAGTGTGGGAAGACAGTGCATCATAAAAATAAACAAGTTGATCAGAATAGTAATTGGTAGAGACCTAAGTAACTTTGAATATCTGCACTAAACAAACGTTCGAAAAAGGCGGAAATAATGTTAAGTGACCATAGCTACCAACTAACATCGGACTTCCAATTATCGACCCGCAGTAAACGATACATTTCCAAAAGAGCAAAGCAAAATCAGACAGATATAGAAATTCATTCGTACCAACTGCAGTGAGGCTACTGAACACAGAGCGCTACAGATGGAACAGAGAGAGAGAGAGAGAGA